GCCCCAATTTCAGCACCTATCACAGCACAAGGCCAACCCTCAAGTTCAGGTATGCCATTAGATGAAATCGTTAAGGCTCTAGCTACTAACACTCAGCAATTCCAACAGGAAACAAGGGCCAGCATCCAGAACTTAGGGAACCAAATCAATCAAATTACTACTTTCATTAGCAAGTTGGAGGCGCAGAACTTTGGAAAGCTACCATCGCAGACAGTAGTTAATCCCAAGGAAAATGCAAGTGCAGTGGTGTTGAGAAGCGGGAAAGAATTGTAGCTACAACCTATCTCACCAAGGAAGGCAGATATTGGAGATAAGGAAGAGGAGAAACAAGATTCAAACGAGAGCCCCATTAAGGTAATACCCGACTCCCCTCTCCCTAAGATTACTAATGCCATTGTACCACATTTTCCTAGTAGGTTGGAAAAATCCAAAAAGGAAGAATATGAGCAAAAAGTATTAGAGACCTTCAGGAAGGTGGAAATAAACATTCCCTTGCTAGATGCCATCAAACAGATTCCAAAATATGCAAAATTTCTGAAAGAATTGTGCACTAACAAGAGGAGGCTGCAAATCGATGAGAAGGTAAGGGTTGGAGAGAACATTTCAGCTGTCATTAAGAGGACCTTACCGGAAAAACGTGTTGATCCAGGTATGTTCACTTTACCTTGTGTGATTGGCAATAAAAGAATCGAGTGTGCATGAATATTGTTATGTTATGTGAACCAATAAAATGGTCTTACTTCCAAATTTCCTTGTGCATGAAATTATGCACCAACTGCAAATTTTTTGCCGCCATTCTATCATTTTGAGCAAATGTTGCCCACGCTGATGGGCCACCTTCTACCGCCTGTGAGAATAAAGAAGATCATGAGTAACCAATAAATATTTAAGGTTAAATGAAACATACATTCCATAACCACGTCATAATCCATACCAATTCATTGGCGCATGCTGCAATGGCAAATTCCTTAGCCACCTTCTCAGCATCACCGAGAGGCCGGAAAGGGGAAACAACAACACTACTAGGAAAGCGCTCACACTTTCCTACGTTGTGCCCCCTTCTATACACATTCTTCACCCATGACTGGGGTGAAACTGTCTCACACAAAGGAGGAATGCTATCCCTAGGATCTGGTGAGGTAAAAAATCCTCCTCCATTAGTGACGCCTCTCCATTGGGATATGTGCACAGGCAAGCCATTGGGATTGATGCCATTTGCTATCAATATCCCATATAGTCGATCAACCTCTGACCGTAGTTGACCAACTTCAACTTCATAATAATCTGCCCGGGCTACTTTCATACTAAGCAGTTCAAACTCAATGGATTCGACGCAACATGCACACACACCCTGCATCATCAAGATCACAACACCAAATTAGACATTTAAAGAAAAAATAGTAATTTCAAACAAAATCCTATTAAATTCTACAACCCACTGATCTAGAACGATATGAAATAGTGTCAGCACTGTGCCCTGAGCTTCGCCCAACTTCGGCCAACACAACAACAATTGGCAGTGGGGCCTACAGTCCAAAATATTTAGTAATATTTAATATGAATAAAAAAGTGAATTATATAATCAAAATGAATTATGCATGCTTACAGGGTTGTATGGATCACAGAAAGGAGTTTGCGTCTCTCCATTGTCGCCAACAGGTAATGTCAAGGCACTGACAAGTAGATCCAACTCATAATCGGCTGGAGAGAGGGTATCAACAACCTACAAATATAAATTGTTGAAAAGTTAAGTGGTAATTTTGTAATTTTCCTTTGTGTTTTGTCTTTTATAAGTGGGTTGTCTTTGGGAGTTGGAAGCTGAAAGGTCCCTTTCTATTATCTTAGAATACCCCTTGGAGGAAACTCGAAGACTCAAAGCTTTTGGGATCCCATTATAGAAATATGTGAAAAAAAAACTGGCCACGTGGAAAAGAGACTACCTGTCCAAAGGCAAGAGACTCACCTTAATCAAAGCCTCTTTGGCAAATTTTCCCACATACTATATCTCATCCTTTCGAATGCGAACCAAAATTGTCAATCAATTGGAAAGACTTCAAAGAAATTTTCTATGGAAGAGAAGTGGGGAAAAGGGATCCCATCTTGTAAATTGATCTCAGGTGTTCAACTCTAAGGAGGAAGGTGGTTTGGGAATAGGTCATTTGAGATAAAAAAAAACAGCTCTTCTGAGTAAATGGCTGTGGAGACTCCCATAGGAACCTGATGCCCTTTGGACTGAGATCATAATTAGCAAGTACAGGAAAATGCAAATAGTTGGGTTTGTAGGTTGTAATTGAACCGGATCAAGGACTTCAACAATTGGAAAGGAATACTCTAAACCTACCAAATGGTTGGGCTTTCAGTGGACCAATAGGGATAGCCTCTTCAACAAAGGCTGAAATTATGGCAGCTCTAACTGGAATCAGGATAGCAAGAGATCTGGGCTTATAGAACATCACTATAAAAGGAGATTCAGCTAATACAATCAGGTGGCTAGCTGATCATGGCAGTGGGCCATGGGCTTTAGCACACTTTTTGACTAAAACAAGGGATATCCTTCTCAACCTAAAGTTGGTGTTCACAGGGATGCCTTATTTAGTGATAACTCCCTTCCTACTTAATTTCTGGCTTGTAATTTCCGTGTACATCTCCTATGTTCACAAAGACTGTTTTAGGCTTGTTTATAAGATTTTTATCCTGTTGTCTCACCCATTCTTTGGGTGGTGATATATGTACCCTCCTTCTTAGCTTTAATGAAAGTTACCTTTTCTTATTGTTAGCACCAGATTTTTGCTCGGTCTGCCACCTGAACCTCCAATTCACCCCAAACACCCGATCAAACCCTTTCGACCTCTCCAAAACACCCAAAAACCCAGAAAACCCAAATTTCACCCCAAAAGCCCTTAGATCCACCATTAAATTTGCCAGATACCAATTCGATGGCCCTAATTAACCCCACTTACACCTTAATCATTAGATCAGACACAACCATCAGATCCAGGACCTCCCGAAACACCATGAAAGTTGAACTTAACATTCCTTCGTTTACCCATCTATCAAATGAAGATTCTATTTCGACCTCCCTCATTAGCCAAAACACTTAGAACCTAGATCACCTTAATCTTGACACACCCAAACCGATCGGAACACACCTTTAGAATCTGGACACACCAAAACGCCTAACTATAAAGTTTCAACCCTAGATTCCCTCATTTATCCCTCCATCAAACCAAGATTCCACTTTGAAACATCCCATTGACCCAAATTCCTACAATCTTGACCCTCTACGACTGATTAAACCTCATCATCAGATCCCAGACACCTCTACCCACCTGTAAAATTTCATCCCAAAAAACCTTTGCTTACCCCTCAATTGCACCAAGATTCAATTTTAAGGTTCTAGATTGGCCAGATTCCTGCTCGATTCTGTGAATTCCATCGTCTTCGTCCTATGAAATAAATCCAATGGTATCCATTAACGTCCGAGGATCATCTTTATTCTAATGCTAGCACTCCCAGATTGCAGATCACAGCGAACCGAAATCTCTCTCGTGCGCTAGTCATTATCAAGCTAAAACGTTACCAAATCTTAACCAAGGAATCCCCCACATCGATCGAGCACAGGCCAAAATCGAAACCAGGTAAGTTTTCTTTCGACTCCCTAGTTGATGGCTTTCGAAGGACATCTTCAATTTCTTGGAGTTATATATTTTATATTATCTTGTTTCTTTAATTTTGCTCTTCTTCTCTTTGAAGGATATCTAAAATATCTCTTTCTGATTATTTGGAGACAACTGTTCTTAGTTGTCAATGTGAGATCTCTATTAACCGGAGCTTGTTCAATCATGAATAAAATACATTATATAGAAGAAAGAGGAAAATGGAAAAATATAAAAAAGGGAAAATAGAGAGTGGTTGCAGGAGTGGGATGTTGGAATGGATAGGGCGTCCTTAGTTGTAGATTTTGAATGAGAACAATTATCAGCTCAAGAGGTTTTAACTTCCTCTCTCTTCAAATCATTCCACCGAGTTCAAAGGTGGGGGCTCTAATAGAAAAGGGGTGATGGAGCAATCTTTCACCCTTTTTCTCAGGCCCCTACATCTAAAACGGGATTGGTTTGTTAGTACGGAAGAGAATATTCTTTCAAGTTGTTGGAAATGCAGATCTCCGGTTTGGTTAAAAAAATATATAAAAAAAGAAAAATAAAAAATGTTAAATTTATCTTCTTTGTTGGATTATTTTTAGTTTGTTACTTTCTTTTCATTACTTCTTTTTATTAATTATATATTTGTGGTTATGCTCATTTAAAACCCTATGTGGGCCCCATCTATTGAACCCAGGAGAGGGGTGCCTAACCCCTTCTCTCTCCCTATCCGAGTCTTACCCAGGCTGGTTTAGCTGGTGCCTTGGGCTTTGGAGTCACTAATTAACCAAAATGATTTTGATACCATTCTCGGAGGTTCCATCACCTCCATTTCCATAGTTGATGGGTGGCGACTCCATTTCCAGCCCAAGTGGCAAAGTGAGCCCTTTTTTCGACGCTTACACTTATAAAAAAGACTCCTTTATGTAACTTGAAATTTGAAACATTTTGTAACAGAGGTCAATAAGCTAAGTATGAAGTAAACCCAAAACTCTACATGGGCTTTTCATACTCTTCTCTTTATACTATATTCCTCTCCTCTTCTATAGATTTTTTGCTTCTTCCTTTTATTTTTACCACCACACTTCTGTTGCTCCAACATAAATAATGTAAATAGCTAGATTATTAACAATGAACCGAGGTTAAGTAAGAGTATAAATCATATACTAACCGTTCCAGCTGTTATTTTCCGAATAAACTCTATCCTATTAAAGCTGTCATTGTGCCCCATTTTGCCCCACTTCATTAATCGTGGCCTAGCAATGTGATTTGATGGTCTAGCCACTGTACTATGCTCAAACAACCATGCCTACAAAAGAATTACATTCATTTAGAGATACCAATAGTAAATTATTTTCTTCCACTAAACAGGAAACAATACACAACCATCAAGAAATTCTTGAGTCACATATACACACCATCACAGTAGCAAAACAACCAAATATTGTGCCTGAAAAGGACCTTTGACCATCATTTATAGGCATGCTCGTGTAACCAACAACACGATTAAGGCCATCTACGATGAATTGATGCACACATCGTGCCCATGAATATTCGGATATGTGTGCCAGATCATTGATGTAATTGGCCTACACAAGGCTCACACGGGCCCCCCTTGTGGAAACAAAATCAACCCAAATAGGTGCAAGAGAATCAACTTCACCACATCTTCAGTCGATTCATTCAATTTCTCATGCACTACACTAAGGAACTTCTCCTCTACTGTACTCAAGAGCGGTTGGGTGGAGGAATCACCGCTAAGTCCAAACAAATGATTAATGAACTCTGGAACCGACGAGTAGATGCCTGTGATCACGGAACATCCTTCTAACCTCAGTTCCAATATTAGCGCAATGTCCTGGTCGATAAATGGTACATACACACCACCTAAATTGAATGTACAGGTCTCTGGGTCCCACCGTTGTACCATCTTCACGATAAGCGCCTTATCAAAAGTGCTTGGTGGAATGCAAATTAATTGTCCAAAGGGGATGGCATTAAGAGCTTCATTGTGCTCCCTTCTTAACCCCAAGTTTGAAATAGGCTCATTGAAGCGTTTTGGTGAACATCTGGTGCAAACTCCCTTATTTGCCATTGCTTTCAAAATGTACCTTCAACAAAATGTAAGTATACAAAACATTTGTCATCAAATTACAAAAAAAAAAAAATAACAAAAATACATACAACATACTGTTACAAGGTTTGCAACGTGATTGCCAAAATGTATGATTTTATTAACACAAAAAATATAACTGTTAGAACAATATAAACGCCATTACACGACATTAGTCTGATTCATAACTTGGAAAACAGGAGAAATAATGCTTGCCATTGCTCAGGTTGTGGCAGAAGTACCAATGAGAAAGATGAAGGGAAATGCGGGATTTACAGATAAAAATAAAGATTAAAAAATGGAGATAATGACAGAGAATGAAGAAGGAAAGAGGGTTAGAATCTTACCTTGTCTTCCACTGCTTGAATGAACAGGTTCGGTCTTCGGATGTGACATGGAAAATAGTGAGTAAAACTAGATGTTCGGTCTTCTGATGTGGCAGCCCTCCGCTTGCAGAAACTCTGTGGTCTTCTTCAAACGAACACCGGTGAACGGAAGAAGTTAAGAAGGACGTTGGGAGGAGAGAGAAGATTAACTGTTTAACCGTAGTGGGATGTTAGGGGTATTCCTTCGTTTTTCTATAGAGGGTCGAGAGTCAAGTGGGTACCAGGGGTATTTTTATAATATGACGGGATGTTGGGGTGATGTGGGTGTGGAACAGTGGAGTTGATGGAAATTTGTATTTGCAAGGTATAAAAATTCGAAATTTCTAAAGTAGTATAGTGCTTTTGGAGGTATTTTTTTATGGAACGGGATTTGCTCCTCATTTGTATTTGCAGGGTATAAAAATTTGAAATTTCTAAAGTAGTACAATGCTTTTGGAGGTATTTTTTTATGGAATGGGATCTGCTCCTCACACAGGGCTTATCAAATGCACATCCACCGTGCATTGGGAACATCTCCCGTGAATAATAACTTATAAGTACGAGAAGTGTTCCCAATGCATGGTACGATATGCGTGTGAGGCGTGAGTGAGGCGCCCTGTGTAAAGAGCAGATTCGATATCCTTTTTTATTCCCTTGGTTGGGCGGTAAATTCCCCTATTTGTTATTTAACGTCTTCGCGCTTTGGTCCGTCTCCAGACTCCAGCGGGATCGACATTCAAACACTTGCTTCGAATGGACTGATATTTACCAAACACCGCCGAGATGTCACAGGGGTAGATTTGCAGTGGAAGAAACCCGTGCGGCGTCCAGACCAATGTAGGCCAGGACAAAGCCTTTTGTATGCTTAGGGCTAGGAGTTGCCCGATGAGATGGCTCCTCCAAGGTCAGTAGCACTGGATCATGACCTCAAGGCTCATGGTCGGGGCACTCTACTAGCTCTTGTTGGTCCATGGGAGGTGCCACTTACGTGCTAAAGGAGGATGGCCATGATGAGAGGCGACTTGGTGCCGATGTAGTGCCGTTGATGAGAGGCAGCTACTGGGCCGGAACACACCCGTGTGCTATGGGCAATGGGATAGCTCATTCAGTTTAGGCAAGAGACTGGCGTGGTGAAGGGTCATGCTTAAGCAAGGCCCACATGCCAAGCCTCCCTTGAGTGTCAGCGGCGCAGTGCTGGTCCATGCACTGTCCCCATGAGCATGTGTGCGCCCATGAGGAACCATGGTAGCCATGCTAGCCATTAACAAGGGCCGCCCCGCATGGGATGTTGGTCTAGGAGTGCCAAGGTTAGGCACCCAAGGAGGTCGACCACCCTTCCTCAAAGAGTACGTTAAGCTTTTGGAGGTCTGCCTGAAAATAACATCATTTTTCCCATAAACGCGAAAATGACAATGGTGTCCCTTAATGTAAGCCCGCCAAGCGTAGGCAAGGCTATGCCTGTGTCAGACGGTGACAGGCTCCCCCACTCAATCCATTGTCATCCTCAACAATAGCTCCTTCTGTGAATGAGCGTCTGTGTCCCGCCACATCCACGTGTGTGTCAGTTCCTGGGCTCGCCTAGCCAACCCAGGTCTCGCCTATGTTGGTGTCCATTTATGGGGACAGAACCATTTCACCATATCGACTTGCCTAGACTTCACCCCCTGTGTTGAGGTTACTCAAACTGCGCAATGGCTATGCCGTTGAAAGTGTGTGAGAAGGGCCCTCAAAGAAATTGGATGTGTGTGCTTCACGGAGGTCCGCCCCATGTATCATCTTTATCTCAAGGCTCGACCGTCTTCTTGGTAGCTTTTCGGTGGTGCTATCGAACGCGATGTGATAGGCCTACTCCTACTGCTGAGGTATGTCCTGGGTGTACCCTTTCACCATGCCGACCTGCAAACTTTACCTCGCTGTGTTCGTGTTACTCAAACCTAGCCATGGCTTATGCTCTTTTGGCCCTCGAAACTACACTTCACTTCACCGGTTCGGGCTACATCTTCGCTTCGAGGGGGCCCCAATGTGTTGCTGCCTCAAGGAGATCTGAGCGCAATGAACACGAGTGTGGCAACTTTTACCCATGATGTTGTCGAACATGCACTCACCTTGTGATGTATGTTGTTGCTGCCGCGAATGTTCCGCCTTGTTGTTGAACTGAGCATGTCCTCCGATGCATTGCCGGTGTAGGGCCGCCATGCTCCAACGACTAGTGTACCCACATTCCTATCATTCAAACATTGTGCCTTCAACTAAGGACCCGTTTTGTGCAAAACTGCCACTTCAGTGATATTCCTTGACCAATTGTCGACACAAACCAATTTCGGACTACTGTCCCTGCCTTAGTAGTGCCTCTGACAAGCTACGGAACAATGGCTTATCTGTCATGAAACCAAGATGTAGGTGCACCGCCCAACACCTCACCAAAATGAACAACAACTGATGTCCGTGAGGAAGCATGACACTCCCCCACTCAAATCGCCACAATATGCCTTCCATGTAATGGCTCATGCGTTTGCCCCCGCATGAGCACTGTGACCAATGCGTCTGCCCCTGCAAGGGCGTTGTTTTGGGGTCATTGGAATGGGGACACGATGAATGGTCTCTTGCCAGGCTTGATGTGAATGCTTGCTCGCTCGTGCCCAAGTGGAAGTGCCGAGGGACCGCACCCCACGATGTTGCTTGTTGAGATTACCGCTTCAACTAGCTTTGTGTGCATCTGCTCTGATACCAGCTACGACAACAGTTGGCTAGCTTGCTTTGATACCAACTGTCACGGGGGTAGATCTACAGCGGAAGAAACCCGTGCAACGTCAAGGCCAAGGTAGGCCAGTACAAGCCTTTTGTATGCTTAGGGCTAGGAGTTGTCCGATGAGATGGCTCCACCAAGGTCAGTAGCACTAGATCATGACCTCAAGGCTCATGGCCGGGGCACTCTACTGGCTCTTGCCGGTCCATGGGAGGCACTACTTACGTGCTAAAGGGGGATGGCCGTGATGAGAGGCGATTTGGCGCTGATGTGAAGGGACTCCTGTATGCCGATAATGCTGGACACATGTGCCGATGATGATAGGCAACTACTGGGTCGGAATACACCCATGTGCTATGGGCAACGGGATAGCTCATTCAGCTTTTGCAAGGGGCTGGCATGGTAAAGGGTCTTGCTTAAGCCAGGCCCGCATGCCAAGCCTCCCTTGAGTGTCGATGGTGCAGTGCCGGTCCATGCACTGTCCCTATGAGCTTGTGTTTTCTCAGAACCCTGGTAGCCATGATAATCATTAACCAGGGATGTTAGTTTAGGAGTGCCAAGGTTAGGCACCCAAGGAGGTCGACCACTCCTCCTCAAAGAGTACGTTAAGCTTTTGGAGGTCTGCCTGAAGATAAGATCACTTTTTCCAAAAATCTTACAAGCGAAAATGATAATAATGTTCCTTAACGTAAATCCACAGGCTAATACGGTGACAGAGCCGTAATTAAAGCCAAAGAGGAGTCGTATTTGCACGATCCAAACACCTCCGGCGGAAGTAAAAGAAACAGGAAAATAAAAAAAAAATAACGATGAAACAGTCTTCCATCGGCTTACAACTTTATATATACAATTTACATTTCTGTAACCATTATTAAACAGTCGTTTCCGTTCTCAGCTTCCGAAATCCGAACCCTCTTACTGCAGGAGCAAATCAGGAGCAAACCTCCTACTCACATAGGGAGAGAGAGAGAGAGAGGGGGGGGGGGGGCAGGTGCAAATGGCTGGGGCTACGCATCAGTTGCCGCCGGTCTCGAACGCTGGTGCGGTGTCAACTGCAATAGGCAATCCTGCTTCCGCATTGCATATTAACAAGTTGTTCGTTGCGACCGTGGCAGAACGCCTTTCCATGCAATTGAACGCACAGCGGTCCAACCCCCAGGAGTTATCTGGTCTCTGCATTACGATGGCTAGGTATGTTTCCTCTCTCTCAATTTCATTTGTTTTATTTTCAAATCTCTTTTAATTTTTTTGTTTTGTTTCTGTGTTTTCAGCTTGTTCCTATATTCCTTCTTTTTTTCCTGGTTTACTTTACACTGATTTTTCTGAACCCCGTCAAGGGATGGGGGTGCATGGTATTATTTACCTGGTCTGTAGATTCTGGAGTAGGTATTGAATCTGACTGTGATAACTATGAAGGTTAATTGCTGGTTTTGTTAGTGAAAGAAGGTTGTTCGCGTGCCGCAATTGACCAATATGTGTTATAAATAATTTAGATCTGTACTTCTTTGGATTCTGTATTTACTTGAACTTGCATAAGTCTACTTTGTCTTCACACTAACTGCTAAGCAAGTGTATTACTATAGAAAAATAAAAAAGCATACAATATAAGTGGATAAGGGAGACATTCCGTCACAGAAAATAGACCAACCGCGCCTGTACAAACTAAAAAAAAGCAAGAGAAACAAATCAAGACCTACAGGATATCTGACATCTGAAAAATATGATTCTGGTACAGCAAGAAAAAACAAGAAACTATCCTCCAACACGCCTGAGCCACAAACCTCAAGCTGGAAACCAAAAATCGAGTCAAAAGGAGCACATAGAATATGAAAGCAACCTATACCCTATATCATGGTTCTTGGTAATCCCTAGGCTGGCGTGGTGTGCCAAGGCAATATGAGAGTTCAGAAAAGGGTAATCTCAATGGAGGTATCTCTGTCTGAATTTCTTTTGGTAAAATCTCTTATTTGGCTTTGAACTTCTCTTCATCCATTTATGCTAACTTGAGCTGAATAAGATTCATTTATGAATCAAGGATGGGATGATAATCCATTTGAAGGTATGGTGGTCCATTGACTATTGTCAGGTCAAGTTCTTAAGTGTTTGGTTGTGTAAGTCTAATTCTGAATAATCCACTCCAAAATTCTCCAAAGAAGCTGCATGTGAAAACCAAATACTCTATGCTGTGACCATCATAGGTGCAAAAAAATATAGCTGTGACCATCATATTTTTACTAATATGAGGTAATATAGAATTATACAACCAACTCATTACCATGTACTTCTCTTGCTCTCGCCGAGAAGTTTGTATCAGGCTTCTTCTCTCCAGTAATAAATATATCCTAGTTTCCGATGTGCACCAATGGTCATTTTGGATGATTGTACCCATTCTAGATAGTTGTACCATCCAATTTAACTGTAGCATTAATTTCAGATCCCAAAGGATCTCTGGAACCTCCCACACCCAAACCTAGGTCACTGGTTGATTTCAGTTCAACACCACTGCCCTCCATATTGTCTCAAACAACTAAAAGTAACAGTAAAGAGCAAAGAAATATCTCATGAATCAGATTGATCCCACTTAGATGGTCAAAAAATTCTTTCGGAAACGAAAAAAAAATAAAACACTTACCCGGAGAGAATTCTTTCCTGGGAACAGAAATAAATAGGAGAAGAGGCTGTTGATCTCACCAAAAGCTAAAGCAGACCAGAAACAGAATCACCCCTTATATGAAGCCCCAACAAGCCAAGAAAACCTTGAGCGCCCAACTCTAGGTCAAAAAACAAAGAGTCCACTCTGACTAGGACTCTTCTTCTTACTCCAGTTCTTCTTGATTTTGATGCCAAATCACAAATCACCATCCTCATGACTGAATCCCATAAAAAATCCAAGATCTAACCCTTCCTTGATCATTTGATCAGCCCTCTTACATCTCCATGCAGTTGACTGATCTAGGGCCGCATGAAAAACTCTAACCAAGGTCTAAAAGGTGCTTTGATACCAAGTAGAAAACAGAAAAATGGAAAACAATAAAGAAAGATGAGAAAGAAGAAAGGGTGGATTGAACAGTAAATCCTCAACAGTTTTCCCTAGTGGTTGATGTATTGAGTTGTCTAATATCTACAATGGGTAGGCTGGATGTCTAACATCTATAATTGGCTCTTCAGAGTAGGAGTAATCATTTCCAGCTTGGCCTAACCAAGCCCAAAAAATTTTCAGGCTTGGGGCTAGGTTTTGTGTCAAAGTTGACATGTGTACCTGTGCATACCTTATTCTCTTAGGTTAACTATTCTTATATAAATAAATGTAAAACCTTCATTCACATAATTAGTTGATGCAGGAGTAATGATATAAAAGGTGCACAGGCGATGTGTATTTCAGGGCCTGTGCCTCACCTAGGCCCAAGCACAGCCCCTTTACAAAGGTGCATGCCTAGCACAACCCCCTTTTTTGCTAATATTGTTCATTCATTCTTATTAATATAAGATGGTTTTAAGAGGTGGGGAATTATAATTACAATTATAAAACCAGTTTCATGATTTTGTCCCAATTAAAAATTGAGTTGGTTCTTGTACTTGTCTATCCCGAACCGATGCAGACTTGGAACTGATTATTTTCTTATACTTTTTATCATATTTTATGTTTGAAATGGTAAATTTGATAGGTAATAAATAAGGTTATTAATAAAAGTGTTTACTATATTAACATATAAATAACTTAGTAATTTTATCATTTTTATTAAGGTTATATTATCAAAATTTAAATTTTAAATTATTATTTAAATAAACAAATATAATTTTCAGATAATCAGGTTTAGACCCAATAGACCCGACTATTAACTGGGACAGTTTTGGATCTGTTGTTTTGTCCTGATTAATAATTGGTTGGGACTGGTTCTACCTAGACCTGACCTAGACCCGACCCATTGACAGTCCTACGCTTGACCCATCCTGGAACATCTTCCTCATCTGGTTCAGACTTAACGAAATGGCCAGCTAAGCATCTTTCTAGCCATCTCACTCTTTCAAAAACCCCTTCACTCAATTTGATGAAGACTTCCTTCATTGCAGTTTACCCTCAAAAATATAATCCACCTTAACGTTCAAGTTGTTCCCAAGGATTTGTGAGTGTTGGGTGGCCATGCATTTTAATGTCTTAGGCCCAATGATCAGCCTGAACCCGCACAATATTTTTATACATATTCAAATATGATATCATAGTCCCAAAGCCTAGTATAGGCCCTACACTTATGTTTCAGGCCTGGGGTCTAGGCTGGGCCAGGCTCGGTTTTAACCCTTATCATAGGTGCTAAGCCTAGCCCGACCTGGGCTATGATTACCCCTACTTGAGAGGGTAATATTTTGTCAAGATACAGGGAAGGATGGGATATTTAGTTTTTTGTCTTCGAAAAATCTTAGGATCAATATGGAAAAGGGTTGTTTGATGGATTTGAATTTGCAAGGTAGTGTCATACAGAAGTTAGCTAGTGTCCTGGTGTGTACAATGTCATAGAGTTTAGGCTTATCTCTAGGGTGTAATCTAAGATCTCTCTCATTTTGGGGATCCATATTCTTAAGAGTTTGGCCTCTTGGGAAAGGAGTTACATTACATTTGGAGGCAAAACGACTTGTCTTCTAAAACCAGAATATGATAGGTTGCACTCCATATTAAGAAGAGAAGAGGAGAGAAGAGTTAAGGAGTGATTCAAATGGGGGAGAAGTTTATCAATTGGTTAGCTGAATTGGATGGTGGCCCCTGGGCCTTAGCTCATTACTTGACTGAAGCAAGAGACATCCTTTCCTCTTTGAATGAACAATCGGGCTAGATCCCTAGGGAGATAAACACTGTAGCTGATGGCCTAGCAAAGGCTAGTGTTCGCAGGGATTATCTTTTTAGTGATAGTTCTCTTCTTGTATAACTCTTAGAGTTTTCAGCTCTTTTTATACATCTTCTCATGTACTCTTGTTTCTCTTGAATAAAGCTACCTTTTCTCAAAAAAGGGAGAGAAGTTGGTTTCCCTCACCCAGTCAATCACCATAAATAGAAGTCTTTTATTACATAAAAGAACAATTTGTCCCTGTATAAGGTGGGGCAGGTTGTACAAGAATAAAACAGAAATAAAGGAAAAAACAGAAAGAACCCTGTTTATTCACCACTTAACATCCTCAATCAAGTCAACCTTTCTAATTACCCTGTCTTTTTCTTTTCTATGGGAACCGGGAGATACAAGGAAGGATCACCTCGTAAATTGGAATAGAAGGGAAAATGGAAGTGGAATCTTAGTCAGCATATTAAAGAAGTTATCATTAAAGAACAATGGGTGAAGTTTTGATGTCCCTGTTTTGTTCATGGAATGATAGAAGCATGATTAATTATACATTTGTTACAATTAAGTATTTATTTGGCTTATAAGAAATTTTATACATATCTTACAAAGATCTACCTTAAAAGGTTGTTGCTTGCATAATTGTTGCATACATTTACATACATGGTGTTTTACCTAATGCTTTATATGTTCTCCCTCTTATTTGGCTTTTTTGTGTGGTGAAAATCTCAACTTTGTTTGCTTATAAAGTAATTTCTTCAGGCCTATATTATTTACTCCGAGTAACATGTTATTTAAATTGTTTACATTTCTGCTTCATATTTCCTTGCTATGTTTGACAAGATTTGCTTTGACAAATACAGAGGTATTGATTTAGCAGTTGCATGGAATCAGGTTCCAGCTAGAGTTGAAGAGTTGCCTCCAATATGTAGAAAGGTAATAGACTTGTACATTTCTCATCTCCATTCCTAGTGGCAGATGACCTTGTAGTTTGGTGTTTTGGCTTTGGGTTGAAATTTATTGTCCCAATACAAGACATGGAAATCTGGAAATAATCGATTTGGCTACAGTTTTATTTGCAAAAGAGAAACATAAAAATCATAATGCAAAAAATTGCAAATTTCCAGTTGTATGAAGTTCTTAACAATCTTTTGCATTATTGCATTGCCACCTGGAATGGTAGAAGCGATGTTTTGAAAACCAGACTGGGCATATGACCTATAAGGCTGGCTGTTCTTGGTTCAATGGTTGAACTGCAGTTTGACTGCATTCTCAATGACTTCATCTGAGATAGTAAGGTACTCCATTATTGTTTCATGTGCTACATCATGTTTTAGCAATCTCATCTTGGTCCGTGATCTCATTTTCCCCACCACTAAAGAAGTAATCATGCTCTTCCTTCTCCTTCCATTTGTAATGGCATGGAAAAATTTTGTATTTCCATCACCTTCTTTGATCCATCTCTCTCTTAACTTTTGCTTCCAGCATATCTCCTCTCTCAATAAGGTCTCCCCTAGTTCTTTCTTCAAGTTCCATATCAGCTCATTTTCACCTTCATCTAGAGTTCCTTCTACCTCTTTGCTATCTATTGCCTCAATCTAAGAAATCAAATCAACTTTCTTCTCCTCCAATCTCCCAAAATTTTCCCTATTCCACTCTTTGATCTCCTTTTTCAACAATTGAAGCTTCTTTAGGAACTTTTATCCTTCCAACATTGCAGGTGCGGCCATACTATTCCACCAAACATTGACTTTCTCTTTAAAATCCGGGTGAGTGAGCCACATATTTTCAAATTTGAATGGAGTTGGGCCACCATCACTGATTCTCTCAAACAAACAGATGGGCCAATGGTCTGAGGTGATTCTTGGTAAATTTCTCCCAACTAACCCTGGCCAATGCTCTTCCCAGTTAGGTGAAACTAAAAACGTATCAAGCTTGGATAGGATAGGGGATGTTTGAAGGTTTGGCCAAGTATAACAGGATTGCCCTAGAGGAATATCTCTTAGCTCAAAAGCTTCAATAAAGGAGTTGAACTTTCTCATACTCAATTTAGTTCTTTGCCTACCCCCGGTTGTCTCAATCACAAACCTTGCTACATTGAAATCTCCCCCTAAACACCAAGGTCCACCCCAGAGTCCCCTAATATCCCCAAGCTCCTCCCATAATTTCTTCCTTTCTTTATATGAATTTGGCTCATAGACATTCGTGAGAACCCATTCAAAACTGTCATGCACACCCTTTAGCTTAATAGAAATTGAGAATCGGCCTACCAATTCTTCCAAACATTGGACTACTTCTCTCCACATTGTTACAATGCCCCCCGATGCACCCCAAGAGGGAGTGAAGCTCCAATTAATATTCCTCTCTCCCCACAAGCTTCTTATCCACTTCTTGTCTTTTTGAATTTTGGATTCTTGAATTAGAACAAAATCCGGTCTCTCCTTTCTCAATACCTGTTTGACTACTCTTTTTGTGGCTCTTCCTAATCACCTTACATTCCAACTAATAATCTTCATGATCACATAAAATACTGGCCCCAACCCTCATCTAGCCTATAGACCTCCTCTCCTCCCTCCCCTAGCACTGAACTCCTTATCCCCTTGCACATCACTAATGAGTTTTTCAACTTCATTTAGCTTCCTTCTCCTCTTGCCCCATTTTTCTTTACTTACCTTCTTTTGAGATTCCTTTTCTTTAATTTTTTTCCAACTTTCAACCCCATTTTATCAGCCAAAACCACCACTGGGTCCTTTGCACTCTAATCTTCTTGGCTTCTTTTACTATCTCCCGCCTCCTTCTTTTATTCCTTCCCCTTAACTAAGACCCTCCCAACCTCCTCATCACTCTCACCTTCTTGGGATTGAATCCTTTTAGTGGTTTCTTTTTCCCCATCTATACCCATCCCCCTATCAGTCCCTGCTCCTTCCTTAAACTTCTGCCTCCTTTCACCCCTAGCCTCAGCCACACCCACCCCTTCTTCCTTTCCCATTATCTCTCTCTCTCTTGCACCAACTACATCTCCTAATCCCCTACTCATCTCTCCTTCTTCTGGCATATTCATGGGCAAATCGTAGCCTTGGATGGGATCTGATGAAACTGTAGGACCAACAAAACACATATTAGCATAAAAAACTAAACCAGCAGAGTTACCAAAAGGTTGAGAAGAAAGTATGATGTGCGTTTTAGTAACACAGGAGTTTCAGTGACCTTTTCCATTTGGTGCCTCTCCAAACCCCCATCTTCAGTTCTAACTAGTTGGGAAGGCTTCGGATGAGTATTTGACTTGGCCATCTTAGTACTTGTACCCCCACCCAGAAGATCCTATGTAACCTCCTGGATCCCCTGCCAAAACACCAACTTATCATCTTGCTCCTGTCTCTCGCCTGGAATGAGTTCCTTACCCTCTTGGATACCTCTATTCCCCTCCTGATAAAATAAAGATCCTTCAAACCACTAACCGGTGTCAGTCGCAAATCACCATCTCTGTTCGTACTTGGGTGAAATACATCTCCATCTTGTGATCTCCTCTTATTGATTGCGGCCTCCTTTTCATCAAAAAGGGAAACAATGTGAAGGTCATCCCCACTCTCCACGCTGACCTGAACAGTGTCTGCGTAACTTCTGCTGCTAGAATCATCTTCAGAAGAGAAACCGTTGTCTGAGTCTTCACAATTGATCCATTGATCCTCTACATCATCGTCCTTCCAGTCCGCCTTAGTCCTTTCATAGCGAGGGTTAGGCCTATTGCACCTAGCCCACTGCAACTGCAAAGACTTCGAACCAGTTCGACTGTCTTGGGTCGATGGGGACGATGATAGATCATGAGTACCATCCCCCATCGACTTACTAAAGCCCACACATGTGCCCTTTAAGTCATCACATGGGAGAGAATTAAAGACTGGTTCAACCCAGGAGCAGCATGTGGCCCATTCTTTTTAAACCTGTTTTTTAAGACTTCCACAAAAGACGGTTTGTTCTTCGGGCAGACTGACTGGTGAAACTCAAAAATATGTGAAGAACCCCTTTTTAATGGCAAATTGGAGCCAAACAGATTAAAGTTTGACGGTCCACCTTCTAAAACAGAACCGACATTAGCACCGCTGTTCTTCCATAATTTCTTGTCCACCTGGCAGTCTTCTGGACACATCACCGTCGTCTCCTACCTCTTTACCTTCCTCCCACAGCAACGTTTCAACTTCCATCACTAACCAGACTCTCCGCCACCGGCCCACCGCCCGCCGGAGAAGATCTCGACTGATCTTGGAACCCGCTGCGGGTTAGAGCCCTTTACCTTGATCTTTGCGGCTTGAAGAGAGGACAGATCCACTGCTATAAGCAACCCTCCACAGAGTACTGCCACTTGGGAGAAAATCTCCTGCTTCCATAGATTGAATGGAAGCCCAATCAGTTTTATTTGAATAGCTTCCACTTCCTCCAACACGAACTCATTGCAGGAAGGGTTCCAGTTCTGCAACAAGGCCCAACCTTCCCTTGTCTGTATTTTTTCCGTGACCTCAAGAGAGCGACCAAGATCCAAAATGGCTGCCTTCTTCTCAAATGGAATCAGGAATGCTTGTTCTATCTCCGGAAGCGTCTTCATGACATCAACTAGAACTCCATTCCAGTCTACCACTTCCTCTATGAATCTTATCACCTTTCTCTTTTCTCAGTCTTTCAAAGATCCTTCTAATACCAGCTTTGGGCACACAACTGCTCCACCAACACCTTTGATCTTTTCTTTCTCCTCTTCTCCAACCTGTGAGATTGCAAGGCTCTTATCTGCTACATATCTTGTGCTGACATTTCTGGGACTTGTGTAGGGATGCTTGTTTTTTTTTCCAATCCCCACCTCCTTTGCTCAAAATCATCTAGAGCTCCTGCAACCATAATCCAACCTTGCTTCTTTTTTGCTTCTGGTATACAAATCGCTTGCTTCTTTCCATTTCCAAAAGCTTCAGTTAGCTGAATGTAGGTACCCCTGTTATTGTTTTTATTCTCCGCCAAGAATCTTTTCCTACCACACACCAACTCTCCTTTCCATCCGGGCTCAGCGATGGCAAGTATTGTTCCATCAAGGAAGCCCTTGAACCAGCAAATCGCCTCCCTCCCTAAAACTACTACAGATCTCTTATCTTCTCTGATTTTAATCCCTGAGCCTCTACTGATTTCTTCCAGAAGAAATATTTTCTTTTCCACAACTGTTATCTTCCTCCACTTTGTCGCCGGCAGGAATCTTTCCTTTGTCGTTATCTCAACTATGCTAACATATCAGATTGCTGCTCTCACAGGTCTTTCCTTTGTCGTCACTATCCAAGAGAAACATTTTAATTCCCTTATTCTACTTGGGCCTAAATATGTATCAAAAGTTGCTAGTTTAGCTTGATTTTGGTCTCATTAGAAAGATTTTTTTAGTTTCCTGCCCAGAAAGCCCAAGATCACACCTTTCTTTTTTATTTTGTTTTTTTTGTTGGTAAAAGGTAGAGTTTTGCTGCAGAAAGATATAAATTATGAACAATTATAAAAAAAAAGATATAAATTATGAACACCAGCTTCCATGTACAAGAAGCCCCTGTTCAACAGGTTTGTCCAAAAAAATCACCGGATCTAAATATTGAAGATTATCAAAACAACATGCAATTAATAAAAGTTGTGGTAAAGGTCCCCAACAGGAGCTTGACGGCTAGTCAACATCTTAGCAAGCCAACATCAATAGCCAACTGCCATGTTTGAGAGAGTATATTCTGATGTACAGTTGTTTTGAAAGATGTACAAATTCCTTCCATTCTATAGGACCCAGGTTGTGGCTCCAGGTATAGGTTATACAAAAACCACACTTAGACATGAATTGAGCATGTTATAGAAGATTCATTGGACAGCTCATGCAAAGGCCTTGGCAACCATTATGTTAATGGCGACCTGGTACAAAACACTTAGAG